GTAGAGTTTGCAATGCAGGTTTGTTTCTTAGATCCCCAAGAAATAGCACCCCCACCTAAAGTGAAGACCCATCCACTTGTGGAAGCATGATCCTCTGAGTAACTTATCTAACTGGCATCTGTATATCCTTGTAAAATTGAAGGATTACCACTATAGGTCAAACTATAGTTGACTATTCCTTTCAAGTATCTTAGCACTCTATCCACAGCATGCCAGTGATTTTGACTTGGATTGCTTATGTATCTACTTAACCTTCTCACAGCATATGCTATATCTGGTCTTTTACATGTCATAGCATACATCAAGCATCCAATTACCTTTGAATAATCATGTTGTCTCACAGGACAACCTTTATTTGGTGCTAATTTCATACTGGAATCAAATGGAGTAGAAACAAGACAACAATCAAAACAATTAAACTTCTTTAAAATTTTCTCAATATAATGAGATTGTGAAGTACCAAGACAATTATTATCCCTAACAACCTTGATTCCTAGTATGACATCTGCTTCTCCCATATCTTTCATAAAAATTTTTAGACAAAAACTTCTTTGTTTGACTTACTTCATTCAAATCAGTGCCAATAATTAACATGTCATCTACATACAAACAAATCATGAAACCTTTCCCATTATGAAATTTACTATAAACACATTTGTCAGATTCATTGATTTTGTATCCATTTGCTAGAACTACCTCATCAAATTTTTTATGCCATTGCTTAGGGGCTTGCTTAAGTCCATAAAGAGACTTAATTAACTTACACACCTTGTGTTCCTGACCAGGAACCACAAATCCTTCTGGTTGTGTCATATACACTTCTTCTTTCAACTCTCCATTAAGAAAAGCTGTTTTAACATCCATTTGATGGATAACAAGATTGTATGTGGAAGCAAATGCTGTTAGCACTCTGATTGTAGAAATCCTTGCAACCGGTGCATATGTATCAAAATAGTCTATTCCTTCCTTTTGTGTAAAGGCCTTAGCAACCAACCTAGCTTTAAACTTATCTATAGATCCATCTACTTTTAATTTCTTTTTGAAAATCCATTTACAACCAATAGGTTTAGAACCAGGCGGGAGGTCTATTAATTTCTAAGTTTTATTTCCCATTATTGAATCCATTTCATCTTGTACAGCCTCTTTCCAAAAAGCTGCATCTTGAGACTTCATAGCCTCCTCAAATGTTTCAAGTTCATTTTCTAAATTAAAACAAACAGATGAACAATTTTCAATTTCTTCCCTTGACCCCTCAATAAGAAACATGAAGAAATCTGAACCATAAGTTTTTGCTTTTCTAGCCCTTTTACTTCTTCTAAGTTCTATTTCTTCTAAGTCATTGCCAGCAGATACATTCTCCTCTTGATTTGTTTTCTCATTGGAATAAGAAATACCATTGGATTTAAGAATTGAGTTGAACCTTTCTTTTTGAAACATTGCATCCCTTGATTCAATGACTTTGCTAACAGGGTATGAATCATTTGGTTTAATAACCAAGAATCGATATGCTTTACTATTCTCAGCATATCCCAAAAAGATGCATTCAACTCCTCTTTCACCCAATTTCTTCCTTTTAGGTTCTGGAACTTTAACTATTGCTCTGCATTCCCAAACTCGAAAATAATTGAGATTGGATTTTCGTTTCTTCCATAACTCATATGGGGTTATCTTGTTCCTTTTATTAGGAATTCTATTTAATATACGACATGCAGTTAGCAATGCTTCACCCCAATATCCATTAGACAAACCAAAGTAAGATAACATGGCATTCACCATCTCAACTAAAACTTTATTTTTTCTTTCAGCTATACCGTTTTGTTGTGGGGAATAAGGAGTAGTTACTTGATGTATTATGCCAGTAGACTCAATATTTTGGATCAAAATATTCTCCCCTTCTATCAGTCCTTAAACATTTTATAAAGGTTTCACATTGAAGTTCTACTTTAGTTTTAAAGATTTTAAATTTGTCCAAGACTTCATCCTTTGAATGCATTAAATAGACATAGCAATATCTAGTGCAATCATCAATAAAAGTCACAAAATACCTTTTACCACCAAAAGTAGGCCAACCATGCAAATCACAAATGTTAGAATGAATCAATTCTAATATTTTAGAACTTCTTTCTACTCTAGGAAAAGGTTTTCTTGTTATTTTAGTCAACATGCAAGTAGTGCAAGAGTCATGATTAATAGCAGCTTTTGGAATCAATTCAAGTTTCATCATATCATTCATTTTGCCAAAATTAACATGACCCAAACGAAAATGTCATAAATCACAAGAGTCAACAATATAAGCAGAACTATAAATACTGTTATTAACTTTAACAATATTACATTTAAACATGTTGTCACAAAAATAACCTTGGCCCACAAATGTTCCACCCTTAGTGAGAACAAACTTATCTCCCTCAAATACAGACTTAAACCCAAACTTATTAAGTAAAGGTACAGAAATTAAATTCTTCCTAACTTCTGGTACATAATAGACATCTCTTAAAGTAAGAGTTTTTCCAGAAGTGAATTCAACTTCCACGGTCCCTTTGCCCTTGACTTGGACAGTTGATGCATTTCCCATATAAAGTACATCCCCATCTTCCTCCTTTAATGTTTTGAAGAAGTTTTTGTTTTTGCACACATGACGTGTGGCACCAGAGTCCACCCACCAGGATTCATCATTATCAACTGGGTGGATTTCAGAAATTACTGCCACAAAATTGTCTTCTTTTGCAGATGACTTGTTTTCTTTCTCTTTCTTCTTTTTGAAAAAACAACAGTCTTTCTTGAAATGACCACCTTTTCCACAAAAGAAGCAATTACCTTTCCTTTTCTTATTCTTGTGATCATCCTATACTTGGGGTTTGTCTTTATCCTTCCCTCTTTTCTTTGAGGTCCTGTTGGACTGTCCTTCCTCCACCACATGTACCTTCTCTTGAGTATTGGCTTCCTTTTCAGCGTCTTGCTTTCTATACTCCTCTTCTAAACGAAGATAATTTCCTAATTGTTCAAGAGAGATATCTTCCTTTTTATGTTTGAGACTCTTTTTGAAGTCTTTCCATGAAGGAGGATGTTTGTCTATGATTGAGGAGACAATAATGGACTCATCCATATGCATTTTATGTTGATTGAAATTATTCAAAATATGTTCAATTTCATACATTTGCTCTATGATAGACTTTTCATCAACCATTTTATAACTATTGAAACGAGTGACAAGAAATTTTTTACTTGTAGCATCCTCTTGCCTGTACCTTGCCTCAAGTTTGTCCCAAAGATCCTTTGCAGAGATTGTATCTTGATAAATATCAAAGAGAGCATTACAGGGGCCATTGAGGATATATCCAATGCAAATGTAGTCATCATTCTCCCACTTCTGTCTCTCTTTGATTTCAGCAATAGTTTCATCCTCCTTCTCTTGAGGCTTTGGAGTGTTGAGAACATAGACCACGTTTAAAGTTGTGAGAAGAAATTTCGTCTCAGAAAGTTTCCTCCTTCAAATCTCTCCAACTTCACAAAATTTGTAGTCAACTCCTTCAAAGAAGCCATTTGTACTTGCGAATTAAACCTAAAAACTGTTGGCAGGAATGGTTCTCTGAAGAGTACAAGAAGAAGATATGAAGAAAGTGGTGCACTATGTCTTCAAGGTGTGGATAGCACTTTCCTTTAGGCTTAATTCGCCCCCACCTATTCCTATCTTTTAGGGTGCAAGTTGGGTTGACCGGCGAATTTCCTTCAGGATACAATGGAGACCCTTGAATGTGGATTGAACTTCCAAAATTCAAGCAAAGACAACAATGGTTTTTATAAAGTGAAAATTTGACTCTATCTCTGCGTGCACTCAAAGACAAAGGCAATGAGTTTGATCTTAGTGATTGTGTTGTATATCCCCAAATGAAGTGATGGTGAAGGGTTTATATAGAGCATGGAATGATGCCTTGAAGAGATACCTTTTAGAATAAAAACTTACTAAATAAAAAGTCACAACCATATGTTGGTTCATGAACCAACATAATTTAAATAAATACAATGAATTTAGTATGTAGGTTCATTTAGTGTTTTAACTTCCTACATGACCTTTTGTTAAATACAATGTATTTAGTATGTAGGTTCATTTAATATTTTAACTCTACATAACCCTTCATATAAATATATTAATTTATATAAAGACACAACCTTTCAAATAAATTTATTAATTTATATGAAGACATAACCCCTCATATAAATTTATTAATCTAATAAATTTATATAAGGACATGACTTTTCTAAAAACACATCTCTTCATTTTAAAAATATTCCAACAAACCTTGGGTAATTTTGCAGCTAGAACTGCATATCCAGCTACTATCTTTATCCTTTATAACTCATCTGTAACCATATGTCCTCCATTTAGAACCCCTTTTGTCTCTCTTTAACTTTAACGGTTACCTGTAAAAGTACAACATAATATTAATTGTTATTTTCTTGCCAAGAAATTAATTATTACTTCTCTCATCTTTTGTAATAAAAAACAACTATCAAAATTACATGATTTAAACTGTTAGTTAAATTTAGTTAGAACTTAAAAATATTAAATGTATAAGATATATATTTTTAACTATATTTTTGTTTGTAAAAAGAATACATAAAAAATAATAAATAAAAATTTATTATAGAAAGATAAGAAATAACATATGTTTAATTAAGATATAAGTGAAAAAATGAGCAGAAAATTTCAGACAAAGAGAATTTATTTTTTATATTTATGGATATCATTATAATAGATATTGTTTCTTATAAAAAGAAATAGAGAGGAAACGGTACTTCTTAATTAACTATACACTTATCTTTCATTAATATTAAAATTTTCAGGTAATATTGATAAAAAATTTAACATGGTACTATTAGTTATATTTCTTCATTTTATGAATTAACAGGCGATTGAAAGAAATAAAAAAGAGTTATTCAAAAACTTCTTAATGAAACGGACACACATAAACAAGAAAGCCAGAGCTAGATTGCAGCGTTCTGCGTTCCCACCAAACGGGGCAACGGGCTTCATTGGCTTCCCAAGTTTCATCATCTTCTTTCGTTGTCTGCAGTTTTGTCTGTGACTGAACATGGAGACCACGAAGGAAGAATTTCTCAAGGAATTTGGCCAGGATTACGGGTATCCCAATGGTCCCAAGAGCATTGATGAACTTCGAGCCACTGAATTCAAGAGATTACAAGGTCAATAAGTTTATCTCAGTAGACAATTTCAATTTAAAAAAGATAGGAAAGTGGGAAAGGAATTCATTTTTCTTTGACCTTTTCGACTTTGGGTTTAGTCTGGTTCTGATCAAGGTATGGAGTTTGTTAAGTGGAAGTTATTATTAGTTGAACAGGGTTGATGGTAGAAGCGGTGTTTACTGAGGTTTCCCAGTCGAAAAATAGAAGAACAAATGAAAAAGTAACTGAAACATATTCTGTGAAACATTTCTAACAATGGCGATAGACTAAAATTCAACAAGCCTCTTTCCTATTCATTGCAAGACTATATTGAGTTTGAAGGAAGCTATTCTTCATGTCCGATACATGTAGAATTGTTATTCTGAACAGTTTGTATTAAGATGACTTTAATTACCAATGAAATATGCGCTTAAACTGTGTAAGCGGCAAAAGGTGTGATGTCTGTATCAGGTAGAGGGTTTCCTGTAATGCTCACGATTTAACAGTTTTTTTTTTTTTTTCGTTGTGCAAATTATTCCGTTGCAATTTTAATTTTTAGATCTCGTATACTTGGATCATGCTGGAACAACTTTATACTCCGATGAGCAGATGGAATTGGTTTTCAAAGACCTTACAGGCAACGTATATGGAAACCCTCGTATCCTGATATGACAGTGATAACATTAAGATAGGTGCAGCTTTATACTGGCTTATTTTGGGCCATGTAAATAACTTCAAGTATTTCGTTTGAGCTTGTTATCCTTGACATAATTCTATTTGCAGCTTGTATGATTTTCCTTTTCCTTTCACACACGTGTAAATGTGTATATATATTCAGTTTACGGTGCTTATGTTGAAGAAATATCTAGTTTTGTCCGATCTTCTACACAGGAATCAAGGACTTAGGTCCTGCGTGCCATTTGCTTGCCAGTTGCGACCAGTCTGTACTTTGTTGGATGTTTCAGCACTAGCAGTTTGGTTTGTCTTCAAAAAAGATCTGCTTGCCCCGGATTGCTAAATGACAGATTTTTAAGAGAATTAGTGCTATTTCATGTGATGTTACTTTCAATAGTTTCATCGGGAAAGGCCTTTGTTTGCCTTTCAATGTTACCAGTCACGCCACTTGTAATTCAAATGCATGTTCAGCATTTTTAGCTTGAAATGAAAGTCGAAAAATTTGAATTTAAAAGCATATGTGTTCTTCAGGATGTTGCAGGCACTCTTCTGTCTGTAGCAACTATTATACTTTGAATGGTTTCGTTCAGAAAGGCCTCTGTTTGCCTTTCAATATTACCAGTTACTTATAATTCAAATGCCTGTTCAGTATTTTTATCTTGAAGTTAAAACCCAAAAATTTGAATTTAAAAGCATAACTTGTTCCTCCGGATGCTGCAAGCACTATTCTGTCTGTAGCGACTATTTTAGCAATTAAGGTAATTGCATCTGGCTTGTGGAAGAACTAAAGTAGGAACTCCTGCCAATTTTCTGATGATCACTCGTATTAGGGTCTTGCGTATGATGAGCAAATTGCATCTATCCGGTGTTTGTTGTAACTGAGGTGGTAGTAGAAACTGAAGAGGAATGAAACAATGTCTAAGTACCACGTCCTAAATCCTCATTTCATGTGATGCTATCTCATTTATGCTTTCATCAAGGAATATTGCTTTTGGGACTCAAAGGGTTTTTCTTGATATATATTCAGATTAAATTGGAGTTCTTTTTTTTTTTTTTTGGGGCATTAGTATAATACTTGGTGTTTTAGATTAATGTCTTTTGAGTAATCATCCTCGTTATTTTCCTTTTCTTTTTGTATTCAATTCAGTAAATCTTCTACCTGAAAAGAATTCCTCTTCATATAAATTGTATTCTTACCTGTGGGAGTTACTTATTTTATTGGTAGTTTGCGTCTTCTTTATTAAGTAAAATTCCTTAATCTCCACACTAGATAGCCAAAGTGACTCCAGTTCTGCTACATTGGAGATTGTGAAAGAAGGTCGTCAGCAGGTAGATTGAGTTGTCTTGACACATGAGCTACCTGTTGTAAAAGTCAATAAGCTTAATTTAAAAACAGCTTTTGTGCTAAGAGGTCTTTAGGATCAGTGAATATTATATCTTAAATTCAGTCCTGCCTATCTAGGAGATGGTGAATGAAATACTAAGTTAGATTGTCTGATGGATGACTGGATTTTCTTCATTTTTCATGAGCAACATGCTACTGTGGATGGCCTTGTCCTTTTGCCTTTGTTAACAAACCTTGTAGGGTGGGCCATGTTACCACTAGTTGCTAACCAGGCTATTACTATTAATGTTTTTCATTTTTTCATTATTTGTAGAGAGAATCAGCATATCTAAAAAATTTATATTCGGCTTGAATTATTATTGTACTGTGTGCCATACAGGTCCTTGACTACTGCAAAGCATCTCCAAAAGACTATAAATGTATATTTACCTCTGGGGCCACAGCAGCGTTGAAGCTGGTTGGTGAGGCTTTTCCGTGGAGTTGTAAGGGCCATTTCATGTATACAATGGAGAATCACAATAGTGTTCTTGGAATAAGAGAGTATCCTTTCTGATAAGTAAATTATTCAAGACTACAGATATGGTGACATTATGAATACCAAACTATAACACATTGGCACTTCATATGGTATTGATGCCATTTTTACTGTAATTATATCTATTTGCAATTAACCATGTTTAATACCAGTTAATCAGTTGTTAAATGACCAATTAGGTCATATATAGTTAATCCTGTTCGTACTTACTCCTTTATGAGTTGTGGATCCGAGAACAGATCTTGTGAGATCTGGTCAAATATTTATTCAGCATTAATTCTTTGTTGTTCTCATTTCTTTCCTGCTTTGAAGAGGAGATTGTTGGCTTATTGTACCTTAAATTGAATTGTCTTTAACACAAGGACACACACTTGGTACTCGAGCATGTAATGTTGACTCACACTATGTTGTAAGGGAAAGAAATGGAATCATGAAAAGGAGGAAAAAAAAAAAGAAAAAGAAGTATGTTATGTGTAGCATTTTAGATTGCATAATGTATAAGACTTGGTATCTAGTGATTAAATGTCATCGGAGATTTTTTGTTTTCCTCTTAAGGTAGTTGTAGGTTAATTTGACTTTATCAACATCTAATGAACCATATTGATGCTGCAATTTTTTTGTTTTTATTTTGATGATGATTATCAACATCCCATGCACTTAACTAGTGTTAGATATGCTCTGAATCAAGGAGCTGTAGCCACTGCAGTTGATATTGAAGAGGACATGCATCCATGTATATCTGGAGAGACAATTTCCATAAGGATATCACCACGCCAAGTACAAAGGAGAAAAGCAGCGGGATTGCAAGATCAAAAGCCTAATGGTAACTTTTGAAGTCATATGTTATTCTTGGGGTTTTGAACTTTCTTTATGATATCTGGTTATTCATTTTTCCCCCCAATGCAGGTGATGTGTATAATTTGTTTGCCTTCCCCTCAGAGTGCAATTTCTCAGGGTTGAGATATAGCCTTGACTTGGTTAAGATTATCAAGGAAGATTCAAGAAGGATTCTGGGAGGTTCTTCAGCTTGCAAGTAATATGCTACATTGTTTGTCTTATTCACTCCTTATGTCTATGTATTGCTTTACATCTGTCATTTAAATAACATGTAAAATGACATGGTGCTGTTTATATTTTGTGCTACAGTGTCCATCATGTAGAACGTATTAGGACAATAAAACTGATTGTCAAATTCATGTTGTTATGCAAGTTTCCTCTTGCTTCTGGTGTCCTAACTGAGTTTTTTCTTCATGTTTAAATGAAATGTATGATAAAAAGAGACCAAGGAAACTTTTCCTATGTCAATCCATGGTTTATTCTCTTATTTAGAAGCTTGACTTGTTTTTGGATTCTTGTATCCAGAACACTTGCCTGTTATATATGTATTGATCATCTTTTAGGATTTTGATATTACTTTTATCTGGATTACCGGGATATATCACCAAAGAGTCCTTTACACTTATCTTTGTTTTTGCCTTTTGTTTTATTTATTGTTTATTGTATTTGCTTTTGCTTTCTTGCAATATTTTATTTGGCTTGTAATGCAATGGGTGATTCCTGCAAGGAATAGAAATATCTTGGCTTTGGTGGAAGTAAAGCTGATATATTTGATTTATCTTTAGGGAATTGCTGCTGGTTTTGAACATTTTGTTTGCCTATGAAAAGATTCCATATAGACAGACACGTTAATTTTACATTGGATGAGATCATCCTATTTTGCTGTTCTCTCTTTTTCTCTAGTCCTACTGGTCTTACATCATTGGCGGCTACGTTATTCTGTGTGACATCTTCAGAGCATTGATGGTAGACATTTGTTTGTATATTGTTTTTGTAGAAATGGTGGCCAGGGGATTGTCTTGATTGATGCTGCAAAAGGATGTTCTACTAGACCTCCTGATTTATCCAAGTATCCTGCAGATTTTGTTGTTATCTCCTTTTACAAGGTAGTTTGTGAAAGTTGAACTCATTTTGATTGATCATCAATGACTACGAAAAATTGACGTTTTACCTTGTGGATTTTTATTAAGATGTTTGGCTGTCCCACTGGGCTTGGAGCTCTCATTGTTCAGAATGGTAAGAAACTTAAATAAAAAAAAAATTATATACTTTAATTTTGGTTTAAATTAAACAAGATGCTAAATTAGTCATGATATTGATGGAAATTTCATACTTGCTATATTAGACTAATTTTACGAATGTTTGTCTTGTAATGATTGTCTTCATTATTCCGTTTTTAATCACAGATGCGGCCAAGTTACTGAAGAAATCTTACTTCAGTGGAGGTTTGTGGCATGGTGGCTTGATGTCTATCTGTGGTTAATGCTCAAATCAGTCATTTATCCTGTCCCCATTGTAGGTACAGTTGCTGCATCAATTGCCGACATTGATTTTGTTAAGAGAAGGGAAGCTATTGAGGATCTGTTTGAGGATGGCACTGTTTCGTTCTTGGGCATAGCATCTATTCACCATGGCTTCAAGATCCTGAGTTCTCTAACAGTATCAGCAATATCACGGTATGCAGAAGAGCATGCATACATACATGTGTGTGTATAAAGATATAAACAAGCCTATGTTCCTACTTAACTCTTAGAAGCACAGATATGATATTGTCTTCTGGTGTCTTATCTCTGTCTATTTGAATTTTTTCGGCATTTTTTCTCAGTTTGGTATTGCTTATAATTTGCAAAATCTGCTTTTTTAAAGTATTAATAGAAGTTACAAGAAGGAATTATGCTGATGACATTTGTAGCTTTGTGAAGGTGTTTATGCATCGTTTCTTCTGTTTGAAAGACAAGCACAATTAGTATATAACATGCTTGTAATTTTTAATGTTCAAACACATAAGACAATATTGAAAATTCAAACAAAATACAATGAAATGCCATTGAATCATTTACTTGCTTCAACTTCTAATACTAACTTTAGAGACAGCATTCTGCAATACCAAACTACACCTCTGTTCGCGCAGAAATTTTTGTTGTGAAGCCTGATTGACTGTTAAGATAGGAAATAGCAAAGGTGATCCAAAATACTCTGCTAGCCAAATTGGCTGAAGGTTATTGCCAAAGATCATTCCACTCCAAATTTTAAGCTGTTAAGTAAAAGTTACATGAATAATTTGATTATAATATCTAACATACCTCCAGAACATGGCCTTCACATGAAAGCTCTATGGCATGAATTTTGGAAAAAGTGAAGGCTTTTTACACCATGTGCTGAAACTCTATTTTGATTAAGAAAGTAAGGGGTACCGAGTGTTAAACACCTGACCTTTTTGGATCTAGAGGCATTCATTTCATGCCAAATACTATTTCAAGTAAAAAGCTTAAGGTGCTAGGTGAAGGCCCACGACCCATCTGCATGATTAAAATTCTGTATGTTCTGTTACCCAAAAAAAAATATGTGTACGTTCTGAGTAATACGAAGCCTTTTTGCCTTGTAGGCATACAATGTCTCTGGCCTTGTATACAAGGAAAAAGCTTTTGGCCCTCAGGCATGGGAATGGATCCAGAGTGTGCATGGTCTATGGATCCCATAAATCGAGGGTATGTTACTATACAATTTGGTTGTTGCCCAATGCATGGTTTTATATGATAGTTTTTTTCTTGTGGTTTGAAAGTTCTGTGACTTGATATGTTTTTAGTTTCTTCTTTTGGTGGTTTGAAAGTCTTGTGACTTATGGAGGTTGTGAATTTCACAGTTGGAAGTTACCAACCTCTCAATGCATCTGTTTAGGTGGTTGCAACCTCCCAGTGCATTTCTGTAAACATTGTACAACATTATGAATCTAATTCAATTTTTGGAGTACTTTAACAACTTTGGCTTTGAATAATAAATTGCCATGCATAGCTGATGGTGAAGCTACACTCCCGTATTCAACCAGTGTTGGAAAACCCGTCGTTGCATTTCTTTTTATCAATGTGATTTACTTATGGTTGCTTCGTTGGAATTGTCCATTGCTTCTTAAATACATCCCCATTAGCATGTTCTGTCTTCACCTCTGCCTCGCCATTGTCCTTGCTGCCCTCTATACCTCCCTCACTCTCTGCTGATCTGCCAAGGGTAAAATGATCTAAGGTTTGGCTTCCACGGAAGTTAGGAGACTTCCATGGGGTATGGGATGGAACCAAGTTTAATGAATTTTGATGGAAGTCTGGTTCCTTGGAAGTTGACTTGCAGCACACTAGACAAGCGTCTTTTTTTTTTTTTCCTTTTTTTTTTTTGGTTTTTACTTTGATCCTGAGTTCCATTTCCACCCTTCCCATTACCCATGCGCCAAACGGGCATAAAGTGCAATGTAGAGGATCCATAGCTTTGAGGGTAAAAGCATGATTTCAAAATTAATTCATAACCATGTTTCAGCTGTCATTTCTCCCTGGGCATCTTCATCCTTTTAGTCCAATGTCTGTTATTCCTTGTAATCATTACTCAATATTATCTATCCCCTTTTTTCTTACTTCCTTTAAATAGCGCATGAGTCATTTTCTGTACTTGAAATTACCTTTTTCATTCAACTTTCTATTTTTTGTACCTACACGGCTCCTTACTTTTCCATTTGACTTTCCAATGTTGACATCTTCCTAAGGTTTTTGTGGTAATTATGCAAAATAAATATTGTATATTGAGATTGATTTAGAAGCATATATTGGGGCGCATGTCTCGGGTAGATTAGAAGAGAATAATTTGGAGTGAATATCTCCATAATCATAACCATTTATGATTTGTATACCCAAAACACTATATATACTGTACAATACGCACAAGAATAATATATCGGACTATTCAAATGCTAATGCTTCTACATGGTATCAGAGCACGGCGACTCTGAACCAGCATCCTCACCTCAGTCCACTACTATCTCAACCGAGTCGCACCCTCAGGACGACCATCTCCTGATGGGGTCTTCCCACGATGGGTCCTCAACGTTTGACCCGTTGAAGGCTGGAGCTCCCTGTGGGTCGAGCTCTAGCATTGAAGGGTCTCCTGTGTCCATCATCTCAGGAAAGTTGAATGGGCTCAAGCTGTCTGCCTTGCTGTGGGTGGTCGTGGCAAACTGGGGATCCTTATCGGTGAAGACAGGGCTCCTACCGACTCTGCCTTTCCTGCCATGTAGCGATGGTTAATTGATAATTCGTTGGTCTCCTCATGGTTGATCAACGTGATGAGTCCTCAACTCAAACGTAGCTTCATGTACCTCCCTACTGCACGGGATATTTGGGACGCTGTTCGAGACTCCTATTCTAATGGGAAGGACTTATCTCGCTTGTATGACCTCATGTGTCGTATTTGGAGGGCCAAGCAAGGCTCACGTGGTGTTAATGAGTATTGGCTTGAGCTTGTTGCCCTTCTGCAGGAGTTTGATTTGTTGACTGACGAGGAATGAACCTCTGCGATTGATGCTGCGCGTCATAAACAGAACGTTGAGGCTGAACGTGTCTTGCAATTTCTTGCTGGTTTAAATGGTGAGTTTGATGATCTCCACAGTCGCATCCTTAGTCGCACCTCTCTGCCCTCCACCCGTGAAGTATTCCCTGAGGTCTGCCATGAAGAATCGCGTCGACATGTGATGTTACCCGCACCCATCTCTGCTTCGGCTGACTCTTCTGCCTTTGTTAGTAAGGCTCCTGATTCATCATTTGCCTACAAGAATAGAGTCACCTGTGACCACTGCAAAAAAACAGGACACTCCCGTGATCGTCGCTGGGATCTTCATGGTAAACCAGCTGATTGGAAGAATCGTAAGAATAAACCTCGTGGCTACCAAGTGTCTCAGGAGGTCCCCTCTTCTTCCCCGGCTGATGTTCCCCTCTCAGTAAGCCAGGAACAAATGGCTCAATTGATTGATGCCCTCAAAGTCTTACAACTCTCGTAGAAACCTGCTGCCAGTGCTTCTGTTGCTCACAAAGGTAATCAGTCTATAGCTTTACATACCACTTTTCTGCCTTCCAAGTGGATTGTTGATACTGGTGCATCTGACCATATGACCTCGGAAGCTCAAATGTTTATTTCTTACCTTCCCTCTGCGGGGAATGAAAAGATTAAGACTGCCACTGGTTCTTCTGCCACTATCACTGGCACTGGCTCTATGAGGTTATCTAAATCATTACTTCTTGACTCTGTCTTACATGTTCCTCATCTAGCTTGTAATCTTCTCTCCATCAGCAAGCTGACTAAGTAGACTAATTGCTCTGTTCATTTCTTCTCCATTCACTGTATTTTTCAAGATCTCTCATCGGGGAAGATGATTGGCACAGCTGAGGAATGTGATGGCCTTTACTATCTAGATGTTTCTACCGTGCGTGTGTTGTGCTCAAGAATAAGTGGTTTGGTCTTAGTCCCTGAAGACACTAGTATTTCTTTATGGCATAAAAGGCTGGGTCATCTTAGTTTTTCATATTTGCAAAAGTTGTTTCCCCAATTTTCATCGAATAAAGATTCCATTTTTCATTGTGATGTTTGTGAGCTTGCTAAACACCACTGTACTACTTTTTCTTCTTCTATTTATAAATCCTCTCGGCCGTTTTCAATTATACATTGCGATGTCTGGGGTCCTTCCCGCATACCAATTCGCACCCGCACACATTATTTTGTCACATTCATTGACGACCACACACGTATGAGCTGGGCCTATTTGTTAAAACAGAAATCTGATGTGTCCTCAGTATTTATTGAATTCTTTCACTATATCCAGACCCAATTCCACACCACCATCCAAGTTCCTTTTTCTAATAACGGGACTGAATATTTCAATAATTCTCTGGACTCTTCTCAAATCTCATGGTATTGTGCATAAAAGTTCCTGCCCTAATAGTCCCCAACAAAATGGTATTGCGGAACGTAAAAATCGTCACCTCCTTGAAGTTGCCCGTGCTCTCATGTACACCTGTCATGTTTCCAAGTTTTTCTGGGGTGATGCCATTCTCACAGCCACCCACCTCATTAATCGTATGCCCAGTCGTACACTCTCATTTACCTCACCTCTCAACAAATTCCGTGAGTCACATTTTGTTAGCCATCTTGATTATTCCCTCCCACTTCGGGTCTTCGGTTGTTCAGTGTTCATTCACCTTCACCACCCTCCTTCTAAGTTTGACACGCGTGCTATAAAATGTATCTTTCTTGGTTACTCCAACTCCTAAAAAGGTTACAAGTGCTTTGACCCTGCCTCTAAACACCTTTTTGTGAGTCGTGATGTCACCTTTGTCGCAAATGAACCCTTCTACCCCAAGTCTTTCATTCAGGGGGAGAGAGTGAGTGAATTCCAGCCTTTAGGGGATATACCATCGCCAATACCACCAACACACCCTCCAAGTGTCCAGGATGAACCATCAACTTCCAAGTTGCCAGACGCAGGGGGAGACGAACTTAATAAGAAATAGCACAAGGTTTATTCACGAAGAAACAAACAGACTTTAGAGCCTATCATATCTGAAGAGATGCTAGTTCCTGAATCGATGACAGATTCTGGTTTGAATCAACATGGAAATGAGATGATCAATGAGTTAGACCTGCCCATTGTCGTGAGGAAGGAAACGCGCTCTTGCACCATGCATCCCATTCAGAAGTATGTATCCTATACTACCCTTTCACAGAACCATTACAATTTTGTCACCAACCTTGACAAGGTCAAAATTCAGAGTAATGTGTATGAAGCACTTGAGACTCCTGAATGGAAGAGTGTCGTACTTGATGAAATAAAGGCTTTAGAGAAGAAGAATACTTGGGACGTTGTTGAATTACCCAAAGGTAAGAAACCAGTAGAGTGTAAATCGGTATTCACACCTAAATATAATGCTGATGGAACTCTCAACAAATTTAAAGCTCGGTTGGTTGCAAAAGGGTTTACTCAAACCTATGGCCTTGACTACAACGAGACGTTTGCTCCTGTGGTCAAACTCAATACCATCAGAGTCCTTCTTTCTATTGCAGCAAATCTAGACTGGCCACTACAGCAGTTGGATATTAAGAATGCATTTCTTAATGGAGAACTAAGAGAGGAAGTCTACATGACTCTTCCTCCCGGTTTTGATAAAGGCAGCAGCAACCAGGTTTGTAGACTTAAAAAATCTTTGTATGGTCTAAAACAATCACCTCGAGCGTGGTTTGACAGATTCTCCAAAGTTCTCAAATCTAAGGGTTACAAGCAAAGTCTATCTGATCACACTATGTTCATACTGAAACGGGACACTATGACCACTATTCTTATTGTTTACGTGGATGATATAATACTCACTGGGAACGATGTACAGGAAATGGACCGAATTAAGGCAGCTTTAAACAAAGAATTTGAAGTCAAGGATCTTGGAAAGCTAAAATATTTTTTGGGAATAGAGGTAGCTAGGTCCAAAGATGGAAAAAGATGGAATATACATTTCTCAACGAAAATACATCCTTGACCTTCTCAAAGAGACCGGCATGCTAGGGTGCAGGCCTAGCAAAGTGCCCACCAACATTAAGAAGGAAGTTAGGAAGAGTACCAAACCAGCTAAAACAGAAAAAGAGGCTGCAAGAAGAAAGAAACAAGACAAAGAGGAAGTGGCAGTAGACAAAGGACAGTACCAGAGGCTGGTTGGTAAACTAATCTACCTATCACACACAAGACCAGATATTGTGTTTGCCGTGAGTGTAGCAAGTCAGCATATGCATGCTCCGAAAAAGAAGCATATGGATGCAGCATACAAAATTCTCAGATACCTAAAGGGTACGCTAGGCAGAGGACTGTTTTTCAAAAAAACTGGTCTTAGAACAATAGAAATATACACTGATGCTGATTGGGCAAGTGTACAAGAAGATAGTCAATCGACTTCAAGGTACTGTACTTTTGTATGGGGAAATCTGGTAACTTGGCAAAGCCAAAAACAGAGAGTTTTAGCTAAGAGCAGTGCAGAATCTGAACTACGAGCATTGGCTCAGGGGATTATGGAAGGACTATGGCTTCAAAGAGTAACAGAGGAAGTCCAAGTGAAGATTGAATTACCACTAAAGTTTTACTGCGACAACAAGGCAGCACTGAGCATGGCATCGAATCCAGTACAGCATAGCAGAACCAAACATATTGAAGTTGATAGACATTTTATCCCAGAAAAAGTGGAAGAAGGCATTGTGTGCTTGTCCTATGTTCCAACTAAACAACAATTGGTAGACATTTTCACCAAAGGACTGTCGGAAGATGCCTTTGAGAAATTCATGAGCAAGTTGGACATGATTAATATCTATGATCCAACTTGAGGGGGAGTGTGGTAATTATGCAAAATAAATATTGTATATTGAGATTGATTCAGAAGCATATATTGGGGCGCATATCTCGGGTAGATTAGAAGAGAATAATATGGAGTGAATATCTCCACAATCATAACCATTTATGATTTGTATACCCAAAATGCTATATATACTGTACAGTACGCACAAGAATAATATATCGGACTATTCAAATGCTAATGCTTCTACAGTTTTTCTTCTCTTCTGTTTTCCCCCCAAGCAAAACCTTTGATTATTTCCTAGGTTGTTGTTACCCTTCTGACCATCATTCTAGGTCTTCTACAGTCATGGGAGTGAATGCATATAAAAAGAGATAAAGAGAATGGATAATGGATGTAAGGATACAGGTTGGATCCTCTATATTTATGAATTTCATTTTTTTTTTTGTGGGGGGGGGGGGGGAAGGGCCGCTAAGAATGTTACTATGTTCAAGGTGCACCTCCCTTTTTTACATCCATGATCACTTTTTGTTCTATCTTCGACCAAAAGCATTATATGTATCTATTTTTGTGAATGTACGGGACCAGCATAGTAAACAAACATAAAAAAGACAGCTTGTTTCAATGGTTTCACTGCTCCCTTTCTCCTTAAAGTCTGCTCATTGGGCTTTGTGTCTTTGACCTTTGGCAAGATGGCATCTTGACTTCTCAAAAGTTGGTCTGGATAAGCATAAAAATGGCACTTGATGCTTGTGTTCCTGCCTCTTTGTTATTTGAATTTTATAATGTTTTCTTTATTAATAGTTATTATTGCCATGATGGCGAAGTTGGTGAGTTGTTTTTTGTTTTCTTGATTATCATTATATTTAGTTTATTCTAAAAATAAAGTCTTGTAAGTTGGAACTAAAAAATTAATATGTTGACTTGTATTCTTTTGAAATAAGTAAACATTAAAATTGTTTTAGTGAGTTTCACTTATTATATGTGTTGGTAATGTATTATAAAATATTAATTTTTATTAATTATAAAAATATTATACTCTATATATTTATTGCTTCATATAAATATTTTGCAGTTCCCATGCCTTATATTTTCAAAGATTGGTGTTTCCTGTACCTGTATTAATTTTTATACTTTCAACATAGAAGCTGGATAATTCGCCAAGAAATTTATCAAGGTTGTTTTTCTCTTTTTGGTTCTGTATCTCACAATATAAGCAGCTGTTCCCTCATAGTTCCTTTTGATCCATTAATAAGTGTTATCTGTGCACTTGATTGTCATTTTAGCGGGTAGAAACCATAACTTATGTAGCTGATTGGCTTTAGATTTAGATCATAATTTCCTGTAACTTTAAGTTGTAAAGCTTTTCAAACAATAGGCAATGATTGATTTTCTTACTATGACAAAAGAAAATAAACAGGCCGCATGCAGAATTCTCCTATCTTGTTACTTTTATTTATCTTAATTTTCTTGAAATTAGTACTGTTAGAATCAGTGCTGTGGAAAGCTGTACAAGATCTTGTATTCCTTTTGTTATTATTGTTGTTGGTGTCGTCATCATTGTTGGTTTTTCTCTATAAGTGGAGCTAGCTTGATCCCGTTATTTTTTTCTAATCCAGGAATTGTGTGATGAAGTGGGTCCAATTGTCTCATTCAACTTGAAGAGACCTGATGGTTCTTGGTATGGATATCGAGAAGTGGAAAAGCTGGCATCTCTATCAGGAATTCAGCTACGGGTACAAATGAGGATTTTCTTCATGTTGCTAACCTGTCTTTTTCAAAGATCATCTTTTCCATCTATCATGATAAGACCAAGCTTTTTCTATTCGCTTCCTGATCTAGCATATTGCTACAATGCTGATTGTATATCTGTATCTGCTATCTGTTTAGACAGGATGCTTCTGCAACCCAGGTGCTTGTGCAAAATATCTTGGGTTGTCTCACTTGGATCTACTTTCTAATACTGAGGTTGCTGCTTGTTAATCGTTATTTTTCAGCTACTGACATGATTGGTTTGTCTAAGTTTCATTTGTTTATATCCCTGGAATGATGGTTAGACTTACAAATACAGGCAGGCCATGTTTGCTGGGACGATCATGATATAATTAATGGAAAGCCTACTGGAGCTGTAAGAGTATCCTTTGGTTACATGTCAACATATGAAGATGCCAAGGTTTGAACTCTTCTTGTCATCTTATCTTTTATTCAGCGTACGAAGAGGATCCTTTGATTCAGGATTCTGAGTTAATCGAGTCTTGTTAGGATAGCTAACATTTACTAACCATGTCATGCTCATGACAAGTTAAAATGAAGTGAGAGAAATCTCATTTTCATGAACTTGTAGTTTGGCTTGGCTTCTTGGTTCATGTGTCAATATTTGATTATTCTTGAATGCATTTCCAACAATTTTAGGTCACCATTCTTTGTAATCTAATTCTTGTGTTCCTTTTTTTCAGAAATTTATTGATTTTGTAGCAGGTTCGTTTATTTCACCTGAAAGTCACTTTGGCCATACAAAACAATTGAAAGGTCTGTGCTCTTTAATCAATGAATTTTAAGTTAAATTATAGACATCCTTCCATCTAGAGGGCTTAGGGTTTTAAATTTTTTTTTTTTCCCTCTCGAATTGCTGCTCATATGCTTTGGCCCTAAAAGACAGGAATAAACTTGCATTAGATGCAAAATAAAAGTGCACACATATATGAAGCTAATTTGTAGGCTTGCATATGCCAACCAAGATAGATTTTTCAGCCAGTGATTTGAACTTATGCACAAACATTTACTTCATGCAGGCTTTGACCAGTGTTCCTTGTCTTCTGGTTTTTCTCTTCAATCTATTACTATATATCCAATAAAATCCTGTGGTGGTTTCAGCTCGGGAAGTTGCAACAATGGTAATCATTTGCTTTTCACACATTATCGTCTTATTAGTTTGAGTCATATCTAGTTATTGTCAACTTTTATAATAAGGTTTAAGAACAGGGAAAACAGTGGGTTGCAATTCCTGCTTTTAGCTCAACCAGAAACACGAGTGGAAAACTTATCTCTCATTGGGAAAGTTCACTTTATTGTACCAAACTTTCTTCTGATCTTTTCCCTACCATGTGGTGAGTTCATCGTTATGGATTTGAAGCCTGGTTATATAATAACTTATCCTTTGGGAAGGATTTGTTCTTTTTATCATATCATCGGTCACAATTCTGTTTCTGTTTAGATGGGAATTTTCTCATATTTCCCGCTTCTCCATTTCTGTGGTCTTCTTTATTCTATAAAATTTCTCACTTTCTACTTCGAATATTCTAATTTATCACAAATAATCAATCAAGATTTATCCTTTAAACTAAAAAATGTCATCAGTGTACATTCTCACCTGCAATTATTATAATTACAGGTATTTATTGCCTGATCTGAAGAAAGTTAGATACTCATTTCTGAAAATTTTGAGCAGGCCTGAAATATGATCGGGAGTGGATTCTTAAAAGCCTTAGTGGTGAAATTCTTACACAGAAGAAGGTAAAACTATTATTTGATGCTTGAATCTTCAATGTGTGTAATTTAATGTATGGATGCCCATTTCAGAGATTGGACTTGGTTTTGTTGTTGCTTACGGTGGTGGATTTTGATTAATTTTTTTTTCCTAGTAAAACAATTATCATTTTCTTCTTTCTCATTTCGACGTGATGAAAAGAATTCTCATCGGTGAACTCTCCTATTTTATGGATTTCTTCATCCTTTTCAGTTTTTATCTTGTGATGTTGATTGTATTGTTTACGTGACAAGCCCACAAGATGATACACAATATGATCATTTTAATTTCTGATAAGTTTGCAATTTAATTTCTGATCCACTGAACCATGTTTCACCTATCTATTAAAGGGAATGACAACAAAACTGAAAGCAGGGAATTTTTCTGGGACCAAATATAACTGTTGTCCTTTTTTTAAAAAAAAAAAAAACCAGGGCAGTGGTGGTTGATGAGGCTTGATACCCTGCCAAGAAAATAGATGGATTGGAGAAAAGCTAGAGAGAATCTAATAAACCTACGATGCTTCACATTAAATGCTCTTGTCTCTATTTATATGTATCTAATTTGACTGGTCTTGTCTTTTCACTCTTGTAATAAGCAGTGTTCTAAGAAGATCCGATGTTTCCTGGCAGAATCGTTCCAGGCAATGATATAATGCCTCTTACGAATGTTTTTTTTCCAAGTTCTAACCCGCCTCTAAATGCTTCAGAAGAGAAAAATTAAAATGCATAAAAGAATGTGAAGAAATATTCTTGAAATGCATTGAAATGTTACAAAATGCATTAAACACAATAAGAAATATCTGAAAATTGTCAAAATATTTTAGAATTGTCAAGGGTAAGTATATATTATGATACATTTTAATGCCCGATATTTGTCAGTAATTCTGGTCTATTTAAAATGTAAATTGAATAATCTGTTTACAATATTTTGCTGCATCCTTGTCCTGTTTTTTATAGAAAGTTGTATTCCATGTTGTATTGTACATATCTCCTATTGATTAGATTCGGCTTTTAAGGCAAGATTGAGTATTGTTGTTTGCGCAAGTCATATGTTGTCACAGGTGCTAGCCAATTCTAGCTATCTGTCTATCTTGTTCGTGGTACTTTATAGTGAGATTTTGATTTGTTATGTGTTGATTTTGTAGGTTCCTCAAATGTGCTTTATAAGCACCTATGTTGACCTCAGTCGAGGAATCTTGTTTGTGGAGTCCCCACACTGCAAAGAAAGGCTACAGATCAAGCTTGATTCTGATGTGGACATCGGTGGCAGAGAAGATGTTGGTTTGTATGGTCAGAGGTATACGGTTGCATATTTGTGTCCACTGTAATTTTATCTTTATGTTTCCTTGATATACACCGAGTTCTTGTGGATGGTATTGGGTGATTTTAGTTGGCAATTATATGGGGAAAACCTGAAAATTGTAGACTAACTTTCATTTAGGGATGGAGTCGGCAGATGGTTGAAACAAAGAGCATTGTGAAATGAATCCTATTTTGTTGCTCTGTTGCGCTTGTCAAGGGGCATTCACAGGAATCCTTTCTTCTTTTCTGTTTTTTGCACTTTTTTGTTTTTTTGGGGATCTTTGTTAGCAGCATGAGCTTTGGGGTATTCTTGTTATGTGTAAGGGTGTTTTCGTCAGTAGATACATGTATTTCTATTCCTATCTCTTACAAAATGTGATTATGATATTACAATACGCCTTCTTAGTATTTTGATGTGGTCACCTCTACATTGGAATATAAAAAGAAAATGATCTGATAGTTTTATTTTTTGAGCAAGTATAGCAGAATTCTATTTCGGTTGGCCAACTAAATGCTTTATAAATATTGGAGCACCATGGAATCATGTAAACCAGTCACATTATTTGAGTGATAATTGATCAGAGCCCCCCCCCCCCCCCCAAAAAAAACCAAAAAAAAAAAAGCTCCTTTTTATGAATAACTTTCCTGTTGGTAGAACCAAAAATTCCTCTTGCGATGCATGGAGTTTAATTGAATCTCTCGGTCTGTCCCTAACACATGGAATTATCTTACATGTGAAATTGACCTTTCTCCTTAATTCGTTATTCTGTTTAATTATTATGGTTCAGTTATTATTGTTTCTTCTGAATTAAATTTTTTTCCTTTCTGGCTTGTCACTATATGAGATTTTACTTTTGTGTAAACGAATCATTCAAAATTAAATCGCAAATGCGCTAATTAGTAAGCAGTAGACATGCCCTTTTATTTTTTTACTTCACGCCTGGAATAATTGTTGTGTCCGTCAGGTACATAGTCCATAGTTACGATGAAGACGTCAATGCTTGGTTTAGCAAAGCCATTGGTAGATCATGTGTTCTGTTACGCAATTCCAGTTCTGACCACGATTTAATATTGAACGAGTCCAAAGACGCAGTTACATGTAGAGATGCAAAGAGCAAGCTCAACTTCGCCAATGAACCACAGTTCTTGCTTGTGTCGGAGGAAAGTGTACTTGACCTCAACAACAGATTGAGTCCCTGTATGCCCTTGTATTCATTTTCTCATGATATGCAATTCCTTCTACGGGAATAGTTAATTTCTTCTTGTGGAAATCCCGGAGATTATGGGATGCAAATAAACAGATATTACTTGCTATTATTTCATTCCTTATTTAATTGATTCTTTTACCGTTGTAATCATAGACTTATAGGTTTTTATTATACTTTAATTCCTTTCCTAGGATAGTCGCCCACAGCTCCTATAAATCTCTGTACAGCTTAGCATTCGAAGTATAAATAAAATAGAAGCATACAGTATTTTTCCCCACATGGTATTAGAGCTTTTGTGGGTCATTCTCCGCTGCTGATCACTTCCAATGACATCGTCTCCTCAAAAGAGTGAGTCGACCAAGTCAACTCTGGAGCACGATGGCTCCAGTTCTTCCCGCCAAGGTGCGACACCGGTCTTTGAAGGGGCTGCTGTTCTGATCGTCCCAGAAAAACTCACAGGAGATAACTACCGTGAGTGGGCCCAGTCTGTTCGGCTCGCAATTGAAGGACGAGGTAAATTGGGCTACCTCACCGGTGACACCTCCTATCCGTCTGCGTCTGATCAGCAAGCCATGCGACAGTGGAAGACTGAAAACTCGATGGTTTCTTCCTGGCTTATTAACGCCATGATACCGGCCATCAAGCGGAGTTTCATGTTCCTTCCCACAGCACGTGAGATATGGGAAGCAGTACGGGAGGCCTACTCTGATGATGAAAATGTCTCCCAAGTCTTCGAAATCAAAACGAAACTGTGGCAATTAAAGCAAGGTACAGGAAACTTGAATGATTATTATTTGACCATGTCGGCTCTATGGCAGGAACTTGATCTCCATAGCGAAGACACTTGGAAATGCTCAGAAGACGCTGCACTATACAAAAAGAAAGTCGACAAAGAGCGCCTTTTTGAATTTCTTGCAGGTGTGAACCCTGACCTTGATGCTGTTCGAGGACGCCTCTTAAGTCGGGTTCCCTTACCAACAGTCCGAGAAGCCTTTGCAGAGGTACGGAGGGAGGATTCTCGCCGCAGAATAATGATGCCTATCCCTGGCCCTGTCACCAATACAGAATCCTCTGCCCTGCTTTCTCGCAACTCAGACAATAAAGGCCTGAGACCTAAACTCATATGTGAGCACTGCAAAAAGACTGGACATACAAAAGAAACGTGTTGGGATATACATGGTAAACCCGCTGATTGGAAACCAAAGAAAGGCAGAGGGCGTGGCTATATTGCTGGCACAGAACGTAGTGCAGATACATCTACCACATCCTCTGCTGGTATCAACGAACAACTTACCAAATTAGTAGAATTGCTTAGCAACCTACAAGCTCCTGGTCAGTCATCTCGTACACAACCAACAGCTACTGTGGTGCACAAAGGTAATTTCTTGCATGCTTTGACCACAATTCAAAGCCTATGCATAGGTAGGTGTTGGATAATTGACTCTGGTGCATCAGATCACATGACTGATAATCGTAACTTATTCATTTCTTATACTCCTTGTGATGGCTCTCTTAAAGTAAAAATTGCTGATGCCTCTTTATTTATTGTAGCTGGGATTGGGGATATTCGAATTTCTGAACACATCACCCTTCACGCTGTTCTGCATGTTCCCAAATTAAAGTGCAACTTAATATCTGTGCACAAACTTACAAAGACTGACAAATGTCATGCTGATTTTTATGACACTCACTGTTTATTCCAGGACCTGTCAACAGGGAAGATGATTGGGAGTGCTAAGGAATTTGATGGCCTGTATTACTTTGATGACGCCTCTATCACAAACACTAGTGTTTGCAATAAAACTTCTCTACCTAGGGACAATGATATATTTCTTTGGCATAAACGCCTTGGGCATCCTAACTTTCAATATTTAACTCAAATGTTTCCTTCAAGTTTTTCTAATAAAAATGTTTTAGAACTCTCTTGTGATGTGTGTGAACTTGCAAAGCATCATCGTACTACTTTTTCTAGAAATATTTATCAACTCTCATCTCCTTTTACTACCATTCATAGTGATTTATGGGGCCCTAGTTGGATTGCAAACCGAACTCAACACAAATGGTTTATTACTTTTATCGATGATCATACTCGAGTTTGTTGGACTTATCTACTGAAAGAAAAATCTGAAGTTTATTCTGTTTTTACAAATTTCTATCAAATGATCAAAAATCAATTTAATACCTCCATCAAGATTTTCCATACAGATAATGGCACCGAGTACATTAATAACACTTTTTCAAAATTTTTCCAAGAAAATGGCATCATTCATAAAAGCTCTTGCCCTCACAGCCCCCAACAAAATGGGATTGCAGAACGAAAAAACCGACACATTTTAGAAGTCACTCGTGCCCTTCTCCTTACTCATAATGTGCCAAAGTTTTATTGGGGTGATGCAATTCTCACTACCACTTTTCTCATCAACAGAATGCCAAGCAGAATTCTCTCCTTTAAAACCCCTCTAGAGGTTCTTCACTCAACTCACCATGTACCTTACCTTCACAACAATCTTCCTTTAAAGATTTTTGGATGTTCTGTTTTTGTTCACCTACATAACCAAGGAAAGCTTGATCCGCGTGCTGTTAAATGTGTTTTTCTAGGATATTCTGCCTCTTACAAAGGGTACAAATGTTATAACCCTTGTACCAAACGCCTTTATATTAGTTGTGATGTCACCTTTCATGAATCTGAACCTTTCTACCCCCAGTCTTCAATTCAAGGGGAGAGTTGGGATGAATTGAAAACTTTAGAAAACTCTACAAACACTCAAAACGAAATGTCGCCTGAACTCTTTATGGAATATGAACCCCCATTCACTCTTACCCTCGACAAACATCTTAGTGAGGGGGAGAAACAAACTAAAAAGGGCTATAAAAAGGTATACACAAGAAGGCAGAGAAGCACAAATAGGCCAGTAACTCCTGTAGCACACCATGAATACGAACAGGTAACAGTTCCTGAAACTGATGAACTTAACACTACTATTGTTGATGAGCAAACAGGTGATGCTGACCCTACAGGTGAAACAATATCCGACCTGGATCTCCCAATAGCACAAAGGAAAAAAACGCGAAGCTGCACACAACACCCAATCAAGAAACACATATCCTATAAAGCTCTCTCCCCTCGGCATCTAGCATTCACCAGTAACCTAGACAGCATAAAGACGCCAACTCGAATTGAGGAAGCTCTTGAGTCTCCAAACTGGAAAAAGGTTGTTATGGAAGAAATGGATGCACTCAACAAAAATGGAACTTGGGAAGAAGTAACCTTACCACAAGGAAAGACGGCAGTAGGGTGTAAATGGGTGTCCACGGTGAAATACAAAGCTGATGGAACGGTGGATAAATTCAAAGCGAGACTGGTGGCAAAAGGATTCTCTCAGATATATGGCACGGATTATACAGAAACCTTTGCTCCAGTGGCCAAACTTAATACGGTGAGGATCTTGATGTCCTTGGCAGCAAATCTAGACTAGCCTATCTACCAACTCGATGTAAAGAATGCATTCTTAAACGGAGACCTAAAAGAAGAAGTTTACATGGTGCCACCTCCCGGATTCGCAACTAGGAAACCAAACATGGTATGTAAATTAAAGAAATCCCTTTATGGCCTAAAACAGTCACCGCGTGCATGGTTTGAACGATTCACACAGGTCCTCAAGATTGAGGGCTACACTCAGGGGCAAAGTGACCACACATTGTTCTTCAAACATCGAGAAACTAGGAAAACCATCTTAAGTGTCTATGTAGACGACATAGTCCTCACAAGAGATGACCATGAAGAAATGGAGAGAATAAAATTTGCAATGACCAAGGAATTCCAAGTAAAAGACCTAGGGGAGATGAAGTACTTCCTAGGAATGGAAGTAGCCCGATCCAAGAAAGGAATCTACATCTCTCAGAGAAAATATGTACTTGATCTCTTGAAGGAAACAGGAATGTTGGGCTGTAAATCGAGCTCAACCCCAATTGAAGTAACAAAGAGGAGAAAGAAGAAGAAGAATGAAAGCAAGGGGAAGGATGAAGAAGAAAGCGAAGAAGAAGAGGAAGAAGAAGAAGAGGAAAATGAAGGTGAGGATGTTGACCAAGGCAGATATCAAAGACTAGTCGGGAAACTCATCTACCTTTCTCATACTAGACCTGATATTGCATTCGCAGTAAGTGTAGCTAGTCCGCATTCGCAAGCTCCAAAAGAGAAACACCTCAAGGCAGTATATAAAATCCTAAAATACCTGAAAGGCACTCCAGGCAAAGGTATCCTGTATAGAAAATCCCAGAAGAAAAACATAGAAATCTTTACTGATGCAGACTATGCCGGTGATTATGGGGATAGGAGATCTACTTCCGGCTATTGCACATACGTATTTGGAAACCTAGTAACATGGAGAAGCAAGAAACAGAATGTGGTATCAAGAAGTAGTACAGAATCAGAGTATAGAGCAGTAGCTCAAGGTATATGTGAGCTAATTTGGGTGAAGAGAGTCTTGAAAGATTTAAAAGTTGAAATAGAACTCCCAATGAAGCTATACACAGACAACATGGCAGCCATCAACCTGTCTCACAACCCAGTCCAACATGACAGGACTAAGCATGTCGAAGTTGACAGACACTTCATTAGAGAAAAGATTGATGAAGGGCTAGTCAAACTCATACACGTGCCCACTTGGAATCAAAATGCAGATATATTTACAAAGGGGCTATATAAAGAAGTATTTGAAGAATTAGTTCGCAAGTTGGACATGATTGACATCTATGATCCAACTTGAGAGGGAGTGTGGAAATCCCGGAGATTATGGGATGCAAATAAACAGATATTACTTGCTATTATTTCATTCCTTATTTAATTGATTCTTTTACCGTTGTAATCATAGACTTATAGGTTTTTATTATACTTTATTATCCTTTAATTCCTTTCCTAGGATAGTCGCCCACAGCTCCTATAAATCTCTGTACAGCTTAGTATTCGAAGTATAAATAAAATAGAAGCATACAGTATTTTTTCCCACACTTCTAAATATGCAATAGTTACTTCCACTCTTTCTAGGGAACCTTAAATATTCTGTGTCCATTATATGAAGGGAGATCATAAACTAGTTCATGACAAGTAATGGCTTATTTGATCATTGATTAAGCTATTTATTGGGTTGCAAAGGGGATTTCATGTATCAAACAATGGCTTGGTCAATTGTGATGAAATCCTTTCGGATACAACAACTTTCCGTTTCAAAATTTCCACTATTTTTCAATATAGAATCTGGACCAATTATAATTGATGTCACTAGATGTACAGAAGAGCCCATGTGGAGAAGACATGCAAGTCACTCGAAGTGGATTTCGACCAAACCTTGTGGTATCTGGGGGCAGGCCATATGATGAAGATGGATGGAGAAGCCTTAGAATTGGGAACCATTATTTCAGAGTAAGTTCTCTAACCTTGAATTCCTTTTAAGACTTGTTTGCAGTGCCATTTGAAACTCTTGGTGCACATTGGAAAAACTTCCGTATGAGTTATTTCCAATGATATGATGAACTTAAAATGATAGTAGGGTTTTACATTATCATTGAGTTGATTTTTGAGCTATTTTTGTGTGCCCTGGTTCCATTCCGTTCCAAATTTATTTTAATTTTATCTTTTGCAGAAGATTATCAGTCATCATATTGTATGAAAACTGTCCTAACTACAGGCTATAAAGAATGATAACTGTTAGGATTTAAATACAACTTAACATCTTTGGTATGAGGTACTGTAATTACATATAACAAGGATCTTACGCAACCGGTCGTGAAGAATCATAATGATTACAAGATAACCCTTTTTGGGTCATGTTATGATTGGAGAATCTGATAACATTGCTATAAAAAAACTAGTATACATTTTTGTCTGGACTTCTTTTTTACAAAACATTTTACTTGGCCTCTTGGGATCCATCATACTCAGAGATTCTCTATCCTTTATACAGGAGACGAGATATGTAATCCTGACTGTATTCTGCATATCATCACTTTACATTTACCTTTTTATTATTATTATTCTATTCAAAGACGCGAAGAATATTTCCCTCCTTAAAATCACTTTTTCCATTTTATTTTCTTCGGTATTCTTTTGGATTCGCTTGCATTGTGAATGCTTAATAAGGACGTGACTGCTTTCTCTGGTTCTGATATTTTCTTCCTCCGCTCTCCAGTCATTAGGGGGATGCAACCGTTGCCAGATGATCAATTTTTCACAGATAGATGGACAAGTTCACAAGTCAAACGATCCCTTAGCAACCTTAGCATCATACAGGAGAGCAAAGGTTAGCCAATGATATCATAATATATTGCTTACTATCTTGCAACTTTATTTCAATTCTATACTCAATGGTTAAGCATGTTTGGTTTTCCATTGGAAACTATAGGAACTATTGTTTTGATAGAAGCAGGTAACTACCTGCTTTCACCAAAATTATGTTTTTGGTGGGCTTTAACGTGAAATTAAACACACTAGAGTAGGAATGCTCAAACCTCTGATGTGCAATTTTTTGTTTTTACTGAACCTCCTTTGCATTGTAATGAGCCTATTAACTTGGACAAACGGAGCATTTGGTCCGGTTCCCCTTCCCTTATATGGCTTCACTCTAATTCTGATTTTACACAATGAAACAGGGGAAGATCTTGTTTGGAATTTTGCTTAGATATGAACCTATTGATGAAGGGGAACAACAATGTGATCCATGGCTTCATGTGGGACAGCATGTTTATCCAGATCCTGTTTAGTTGGTCAGCAGTTTTGACTTTTGATCAAAAGAAGGAAATATTTGAGTATGAAGCCTATACACACAATAATCCAATAACAACACCATGAGAGAAAAGTGACTGGAAGATCCCAGTGGCTGGGGTACTCTGTGTTGTATATTATTGACAATAAGGGTACGAGTATATAAACACGGATCCTTTCCAATGTAGGAGACTATAAACACGGATCCTTTCCACTGTAGGAGACTATTTCAATTATTACTATATATAGAAATCAGAAGAAGCTGTTCATGATGTCGGTTTGGCTTCAAATATTACTTGTAATTTTCATTTTAAAAATATTTTTTGTTTACGTGTTTTAAATTTAATTAGTATTTATGCTTGTGCGACAAATAAATTATTCATAATTGTAAGTCCTACGGCGTTTTTTTCCCCTTTATCCACCAACCATGATGCCTTATTTATCACAATTAAGTTAAATTGTGTCATTACAAATCATTGTGAAAAGGAGATGGGAAGAGTTGCTGCATCAAGCCGGAGTATATTCTTAGCTTTGCATGCGGATTCGACTCTTATCTAAAGGCACGGGGTTTGCCCTCCGTCCATTAATCTTTAGAGAATTGATTTTGGGAGCCATTGGAGAAATGGTCATGGGCTCTTCACTTGCAACTTGCTCCAAAAGCTCATAGCTAGCATCCAGCTACTTAGTTAAAACTTGTTTCAAAGGCCTAGATCACCGTTTGACTCTTTGCTAATTGCTCCCAATTCGTTCCAAAGGCGCAGAGTTGGTCTCTGGCTCTTCATCTTTATGAATTGATTCTGAGAGCTATTAGAAGAATGATCCTGATGGGTCCCTATTTTATAATATGTTTTTATGTATAATTAAGGGATTTTATAATGTTTGAAGGGTTTAAAATGCAATAGATACTCATATTTTGATTTAACAAAACTATATGAATTAATTGCTTAAAAGTGCATTTTTTATTATATTTTTATAATTTCCCTTCTGAGAGGTATCTCTGTTTTGATTCCAGGAAATATTCTATCAAGCAAAACATGGACCCCTAGAAAACTACATTTGTGGCAATCACGTGGTATTACAAAAGGATTTTCTAATTATCTAATTGGAAATTATCCAAAATATCTAGTCAGAATATCTCTTATTTTCCATCATATACTAAAGAGCTTGAATAATTAATTTCTTTTGTGGATAATTCTATTATCATATTTTGAATTTGAATAAATATTTTATTCATATTTCTTTATCCATTTAATTTTCCAAATATCCACATTATCATTTTTATCTTCTTTCTAAACCCTAACCCTAATTCATCCTACCACCATATTTTTATTCAAATTTGAGATATTATCCCTTTATCCAATATCATTTAAATCCAAAAGCTCTTTTACTTTGATTGCCATGAAGATCACACCAAATCAAGAGAATTCAAATTCAAAGTTCTATCAAGATTACAAGATAAAAGAAGATAAAAGATCAAGTTAGAAGACTCAAGGGTTTCTTCATCCAACTAGAACAGATTCAAAAGCTATAAAAAGAGATCAAGAGGGCCTTGAAGAAGCAATGAAGCCATCTACACTACACAAGCACAAGCATACACTTGGCTTCCTCTTGTATCTAGTTATTTCATTGTCTTCTTATCATTATTTTCTTTTTATCATTATGGTGTCATCTAATCATATGTGCGGCTAGTCCTCTTTTTTCCTGAGGACAAGATAACGTGGCTTGAGTTCCTGTTTATATTATGGAGTTTGATAGTTTTCTTATTTCAATCCACTAGTATGTTGCGTTTATAAATTTCCTAGGTTAGGATTTTTATTTCTTTTTTGGACTGATATTTGATTTGTGTTTTAGTTGAACAATTATGTTTTGAAGTTTTCAATAAATATATTTTCAGTTTCCTCATGATTCTATGAGTGTTTATCTTTATAGATTTCTATTTTGATTTGCATAAGTAGTTCATGCTCTAGGGTTTTCGATAGATTATTCTTTTTAAGGAACAAGATATAATTGTTTAATTGAATTCATAAGCTAATTAGTTTTTAAATGATTAATTCAAAGGTGATTATATGCTAGTTCTATAGTTATAATTATTAATTAATCACAACTTAGATGTTATTTAGGGTTTTTCCTTTTGACTTAGTGATTGTTTTTATACAAACTTCTCATCCTTTTGAACCGTGATAGCCACTCATCAACGTCCTTGGAAAGTGCATCATTCTGGTAAAGTCTTTGTTCCTTTTTCTTTCTTTTACTTATTGTTATTTTCTTTTTATTTTTCTCAATTTATTTTCTTAAAAAATCAATCAATTTTCTTTCCTACTCTTTCCTTCTCTACATCATGTTTTTCTTAATTAAAAAGGTTTTCAAAATTTTAACAAAGCTCTGTATAAAGAGAGACGATCTAAGTTGACCTTTATACTATATAGGATTAATTTAGTTAAGTAATTTGAGAGCTTACACGATAAGGCAATCAAATTTTGGCACCGTTGCCGTGGAGCCAAATTTATTTTGACTCATTTTTTATTTTTTAAACGTGATTTTACTGTGCTACGAATTTCTGTGCATGCCTAGGGATACTACTTTAGTCCTTTGTGATTCTGAGCCTAAAAGAATATTTAGGTTGCGTAGAAAATAAATTTTGCATAAAATCAACCAAGTTAATACTTCTAGTTAAAAAAAAAAAAAAACTAGTGAGTTTAGTTCACCTAGTAACTTTGATTTTGAATCTGTTGGCTCTGTGCAAAATTATAAAATTATTTATAATAACCTCATGGATGGTGAACGTGATTCTAAGGATAGGCCTACTAGGACCACAAGAGAATTAACATCTTCAGTTGCTAATTATAATTCTAGACATGCTGCCTATCCTACTTTTAATTCTAATTTTGAAATCAAAGGTCATGTACTAGCTAACTTGTCCAAATTTCATGGTCTTGCAGGTGAGGATCCACATGAACACTTGATGAGCCTACAAATGAATTGTGTAACCACGAAACCTACTAGGGCCAATATTGATGAGATTTAATGGAGAGTGTTCCACTTAACCTTAGAAGGAAGAGCAAGAGAATGGTATCTTAGGCTACAAAAACACCTTGCTAGTACATTCAATTCATGGAATAACTTGAAGAAAGCCTTCCTAGAGAGATTCTTTCCCACATCACACATGGCCAGCTTGAGAAAAGAAATTTATTCAGTCAAACAAGACCCATAAGAGACATTCTATGAGTTTTAGAGCCGCTTTCAAGAGCTACTAAGCAAGTGCCCTCATCATCAAATCCCCAAAAAACACCTTATTCAATACTTTTATGAGGTATTATTAGGGCATGAGTAAGCTACTATTGATGCTACCTCGAGAGGATCTTTATTAGATGTTATAGTACAAGATGCATGGGAGATGCTTAAGAAAAGAGCAATAAACAGTCAACAATATGGTACTAGAGACCGAAGTACTCGAACAACAAGTCAACTTGCTTCTTTTACATCTAATCATGAGATGAAAAATGTAGCTGCGCAATTGGCTGTTTTAACCACAACAGTAAATGGTATTAAAGCTAATATGGTCTCCCCTTCTCATGCTACAACACGTGAACTTGTGCCTATTAGCTGTGAAATATGCAACTCTTTTACACATGTTACTACCACATGCCCCTGTAATGTTCAAGAGGTTTCTGTTATGTACCAAGGGAGACCTAATAAAAAATGAGACCTCTTTTCTAATAGTTACAATGAGGGGCGGAAGATGAACCCAAACCTTAGGTATGGTGGAGGAGACAATAGAAATATCATGAAAAGTATCAACTGTTAGATATGATTAGTTTTGATCATATCAAATAATAGAGCAAAAAATTTGCATAAATTATTTACCTCATATTTTGACTAACTATCATACTTGATATCCTGTGTAGTTTCCTCAAGAAAAGAAAGGAGTTATTATGTTGAACTTTGAGTTGTGAAGAATGATCAAGAGGAAGAAGAAGAAGAGAGATTGAGAAAAGAAGAACTTGCAAGACCAAATGGAAATATCAAGATTTAAGTTCATAGATTTGATGTTAAAGGTTGCTATGCTCAATCAAAAGTTTGAATGGCTCAATCGGAAGCTAAAATGTACAAACCGGAAGTTATATAATCATATATTGAGTCACCCTTCATATAAACATGGAAAATAAGCTTCAGAGGTGATTTTCATGGGCATTTATCGATCACTTGATCGATCATCCACTTATCGATCAAGTTATCGATAAAATACATACTCTGTTATGCTCTGTTCTTTGTTCAGCTCTGATATAGGTTCGGTATTTCTCTAATATCTCTTAAACCAAAAATCAGTTTGAAGTAAAACTTGATTCATATGAAACTAGACTTAGAACACGGTTCATGGACACCAAAATCAGCCTCAAAGAGTTTCATATGAGGGAGATATGTTGTTCGAAACATTGCAGTAAGGATTAACGCCTTGATTCCGACCTTCAGTCACTGTGATGAAGATAACTTTGCAAACACAACGAATTTTGGGGTGATTCTTATTGCATTAGAAAGTAGACTCAAAGATCTTTCTGGAGATAGGTCATTTGAAAAATTTGGAGTTGAATTGGAAGAGTTATGATCACTCAAAGTTGACCTTCGTTCTACTTGAATCAGAATTCGAATTTATTGAGGCAAAGACCAGAAGTTCTACATTGATTGATTAAGCTCTTGAGCAACATGCTACTCAAACATGTTATTGAGTAAAAGCACTAGAAGAATTGAGGAAATGAAAAGCCATTATCAGATGTTACTCGAGCCTAATCAAGCAACTACATACTCGATCACTTTATTGAGTTCCTAGTACTATCTCTTCAATTCTTCTCTTTTATCTTCACATGCATTATTAAGGTTTTATCAATAACTTGTTGGATAAATGGTTTTCGGATAACGTTATGGATAAATGTATTTATCGATCACTTGATCGATAAATAAGGTTAACGTTATGGATAAATAGGCATTTATCGATAAATAGATCATATGAGAAGACAGATA